GGTACTGGCCCGGCCTCACCGCTGCGCCCTCTCCCAGCACAAGACTCTGCCCAGAAATATCAGAAAGAGATGGGAGAAAACCCCGAGAGAAGGATGTGAAAGGCATACCTCGTAGTATTTGCCATCAGAGTAGCAGCCGCAGTTGTGGGGAAGGATGCAGCTCTTGCCATTGAGGACATACCCGGGGTCGCACTGGCATCCCTCCACGCAATAGTGGCCGCAGTCGCTCTTCAGCCGGATGGCGGCGCATCGGGGCTGGCACAGGGACACGCAGCTCTCGTAGTGGCTGTTGGGTGGACAGCTGACGGCTGCAGCATCACCAGAGAAACGGATACAGGTTAGCTCCCCAGACAGCTCCCGCTGCTGTCTCTGGGCAGCTACCTCCCCTGTCAAGGTGGTTAAGTTGGACTGTGTAGCCCAAAGAGGGACATAGAGCTCCCAGGCTCCTAGGGCCTTTCAGGCGGCATGCAAAGCCTGCACGCTTTCCGTGTTGAAACACATTTCAGGGGATGTGGTTTTGCTGGGCCGTCAGAACGTGAAGCCTGCAAGGGCTGCTGCCCGTGCTTGGGCGGACTGCTTATACCTACACCCTGTCAGGGACCATTTTACACCTGGTCTGTGGGGTGCCGGTCCGTGGCCTTGCTGCCCCGTCCCATAAGAGTGGTGCCTTCTGAGCAACAAGTTTGCTCGTTAGAAGGAAGAATGACATAAATTTAATTTTCAGTCTTGTTAGCAAAAACAATTACTTCTCATCTCATTTGCCAGATAGATTGGCTGCCAGATAGGCTCAGGGCCCCCATCCTCAGGAGCCTAACTGAACATCGCACCATCGCACGGTGATTGTATTGACAAGAGCAAGCACATACTCCTGGCTTTGAAGCTGACTAATACAAGTCCTGCTCAACAACGGAGGGATGGCTGATACCTTCTGAACTTGAGGCTGCCCCCTTTTCCATCCCTGCTCCCACTATGTTATAGTTCATAACAACTCCAAGAGAACATAGCACCCCAGACCTGATGCCACGCCACCACCCCACCCGGCAAGCATTAGAGGGACTGGTTGCCAGGCTGTCAACCTCCCTGGTCTGCCGACAGGTCGGTCCGGTACCCTCGGCAGTGTCTATGTGCATGCCTAGTGCTCCATCAACTGCACCCCCTTAGCTGGCAAGGAAGGATAGGATCTCCAGGGCTATACCCAGGTACTGACTGTGGGAACCCAGGACGTGTCCAGGTCGATGGCCTGGAGATCTGCAGGTGCACCATGTGGTGCTTTGCTACCTCTCTACAGTTTGAGTGACAGCAAGGTTTGAGTGACAGCAAGTGCTATGGCTAGGGTGAACGCCCTCGGGAAGCACCTGTAGGGAAGAAGGGCCCAGAGGCGGGATGGCACTTACAGCACGAGGTGAAGTTCCTCCAGCCGATAATGGCGATGCCCTGCGTTTGGCACGTGCTGGCGTAATTCTGCAGCCAGCTGCAGGCTGTTTGCATGGCTCCCCCGTCAACACAGGTATCAAAGAGGCAGTTCTTGTAGAAGAAGCCTGGATTGATTTTGCTGTGGCACTTGGAGAAGACGCCGCTTTGGCTCGGAATGAGACGGCAGAGCTGCTGGGGTTTCCAGAAGCCTTCCACTTTCCCGCAGGCGGGGCAGCGGTCGCCGCAGCCGACGCGGCAGAACGCGTCCCGTTTCGCCCAGCTCTGGACAAAGTCGATGATGCTGGTGGTCAGCGTGCCGTCCGAGGCCGCTAGGTCGTCCTCGGGGTTGCCGTTGTAGCGGCCGCAGAGGCCGTAGGTGAGGTTCTGGAAGCTGCGTGGGATGGTGACAGAGAGGAAGGTCTTCCAGTCGTATACCACCTTCAGCCCAAAGTCGGTCTCGACCACAATGTGAAAGCCAAAGGCAAAGATGTTCACTTTGCCCTGACCCAGCTTCAGGGGCAAGTAGAGGCGCTCGTCGTTGATCTGTGGGGAAGGAAACGAGGCGTACCGTGAGCGGGAATTGTGATCGGAGCTGCCGTGGGAGGACATAAATGAAGGTGGCTCAGCACTCCCAGAGCAAGGTCCCTGCCGGCCTCACCTCTGTGTCCAAAACAAAGCAGCCAAAACGGAAGCCCTCTCAGAAAGTTGCACCTGGCAACACCCTAGGGACGAACCCGAGCATACGCCCTTCTCTAACCCCAGAAAATCCTGTGGGCCGTGAGGCCTCGTGCCTAGGGACTCGCTCTGTGGTTTGGGAGCTAGAGCAGGGAGAAATAACCGCGGACCTCGTGGCCCCACACTCACCAGCACGGTATATTTGTAGGCCCGCTGGATGACAATTTTGTAATTGAAGACCTCCACTTCGACTTGTTTCACCCACAGGGCCAGAGAGGTGTCCCGGTCCTCGTTCTTGGCCGTGACGGTGAACGCTGGGAAGGTGTCCGAGCGCTCTGCCCTCGGCCGGGCGATCGTGGTGCACAGGACCAATGCACAGCTGCTCTGGAAGTCGAAAGAGTAGCCGTCAAAAGTCAGGTAGTGCCCGTAGCCGGAGATAATGCAGGAGGCATCGGTGCGGACGTGGCAGTAGTAGAGGCCGTTTTCCTCCAGGCAGTACTCGTCATCCTTGCAGGAGATGTTGTCGCAGTACACGCTGTTGTCAGAGCCGTTGCAGTAGCAGAGGAAGTGGCAGGCGATGTCCATCCAAAAGGTCTGGTTGGTGGCCAGCTGGCGTCCCTCGAAGTTGCAGCCACACTCGCCGCGGGGAACGCAGCGGGTGCCGCGGAGGGCGAAGCCCTCGTCGCACTGGCAGCCCTCCACGCAGGTGTCTGCGCAGACGGGGCCCGTGGCCAGGTTCTCGCAGGTCTCCGTGCAGCTCATGCACTCCTCGAAATGGCTGTTCTCTGGGCAGGCGAGAGCTGCGGGGCCAACAAACATGAAGCGTGAGTTCCCGGCTTCGGCAGCCCTGGGGCAGTGTGGGGTGGTGGAACAGGCAAAAGGTGTGAACTAGGTGAGTGGTGACTGATTCGGGGAGAAAAAAAGCAAGAGAGGAAACAGCCCCAGCACCTTGCCAGCTGCTGGCTCTTACCCCTCCCTGTACAATCCCTTCTACTCTCAGCCATCGTCCTCCCTCACATCACAGCCCTGTCCTGCTACGTGCCAAGTGATGCATCCTCTCTCTGTTTCAGAAGGTATGAGGCCGGGGCTTGTCCTTGGGCTGCCACTTGGACTGGAAAGGATGCGCCACTCCCCCCCTTCCCGAACAGACGCCTCTCTGAAACCTCCACGGTGGAGACGGGGGCCGCTTCCCTGCTGTCAATTTTTCACATTCTCTCCTGAATTACAAATGTTTTCCCATCAAGTTTATAACGACACCTGAAAACAACTGTTATTCAAATTATCCTCTGGTGGTGGTGTGGAGCACTATCAGATACCAACTGCGGCATCTGCATCAGAAAACTCCTGATGCCTCCTGAAATGCCACCCTTAAATCACCTCAAAGGAAAATCTGTCTCTGCTGGCACGAGTGTTGCTTAGAAAATACCACCGGTACGTGGGGCAGCACACATTGCATTCCTACCACAAGTCCCCTTTCCTTTCCGTACGCTACACGGGAGAGGGCTTTGTACACGCCGGCCTCCCTTATGGCAGAAAGCTCTACCGGGCACAGCTCTTTTGAGATAAAAGCCGATCTTTGGTTGACCAGTAGGAAAGAGAGTAGGAAGGTTGCCCCGGATTGCCGGCATTTAGACACCCCCACCCCTACCCCTTCATATGACTTTGGACATCTAATGCTGCTGTAAGCGCTGTCAGGTCAGGTCCTCCAGGCCAAACAGCCCTTTTGCTATCGAGCGTCTTCCAGCTCGACCACTGCAGATGAGAGAAGAGGTGGAGAAAATAGAGCCGGTACTTTTTTGTCATCCCATAAGAAAATCTTCTCTACCGCTGTACACCCACAACTTTCCAACAAAAAGACTCTGCCCAAGGTCTCCCTTCTCCAGGTCCTTAAAAGCTTTGGCAGACTCACGGCAAAAACTGTGGCTCCTCCACTGGCCGACGTCCACCTCGGCGTTCTTGCAGGCGCTGGCGTAGCGCGCCACCGAGTCGCACAGCTCCGACAGGTTGCCCCCGCTCTGGCACAGGCGGAAGAGGCACGTCCTGTAGTAGGCAGAGACGTTGACCACTCCGTGGCACTCCAGGAAGGAGCTGTTGGTGGGGTCGTTGATGATACCGCAGTTGGAGCGGCTCCTGTAGGACTTGAGCAGTTCCGAGTCATTGTTACAAGCCTTGAGGAGGTCCCCGCACTCCCCATTGCAGATCTCGTCGAACGTGGTCCAGCTCTCCAGGAAGAGCTCCAGGTTATCTGTGCACTTGCCTTTGGGCAGGCAGAACTCGTCGCTGGCGTTGCCGTTGAAGAAGCCGCACAGGCCCCCGGTGCAGTTGAAGTAGGAGGTGGAGAGGCGGATCTCCAGGAGGCCCGAGTCGTAGTAGCCGATAGCCAGGAGCCCCTCCGACTCCATCACGGTACCGTTGTCGCTACGGTAGATTTCCAGACGGCCGGAAGGGTGGAAAAAGGGCAGCTCCACATCATAACCGTTCACCTACAAGTAACAAGTGGATGAAGATGCTTCAGGCAGGGCAATGCAACTTTGCACAGCTGTTCCCGTCTGCTAGCCACACCGTGCTGAGTACACCAAATGCTTCCTGACCTTGACCCACCCTCCAATGTCCAGAGCCTCCTTCGAGTGGGGGGATATGTCTGCTTCCTTGCGTTTTGCCCCACAAACAGAGGATGTTTTTTCCAGGGAATAAACAAGTTGCAGGAGACAACTGCAATGGCAGAAAAGTCTCCAGAGCTGACTCAGAAAGCAAATGGGAATAATGGCACTGCAACTACAACTTTGCAGTCACCTGAAGGCTCACATGGGCTTCCTCCAAGTGCCACCATAGTGCCTGAGGCCCCCGACCTGGGGGGAATGGTCCGGGGCCACAGACCTGCGATCCAAAGGGACGTTGGATCGCAGCACGAGCCGCCGCCTCCCACCCGGGGGTGTGCCACCCTGATGGCAGCATCTTTACCTTGATCTCAGACAGGCTGGTGCCTCCAATCTTCACCTCTTGGCTGACCGCCTGGATCCGCACGACCCGTGGCCCGTTGGGAGCGGATCCGGGCTTCTTTTGGCTGATGTCCACCTCGATGAAGTCTGGTCTCTCTGTGCAGGTTTTGAGCAGTGTGTAGGAATGCTCCAGCGGATAGGGGAAGGCGACACCATCAAATGTTTGGAGGACACGGTTCTGTCCCACCAAACACAGGCTCTCCCGCTGTGGGTAGCAGCCCCGGTAGCCGTTCTCAATGGTGCAGACCTCTCCTTCGGGGCAAGTGGTGTTAAAGCACCTGGCCTCTCCCCCGTCCTCACACTGACATTCCACCGTGCAGTCTGTCGTTGCCCAGAAAGACTCCCCGATGGCGTAATACCGACCGTCCACGTCACAGCCACACTTCTGGACGGGGACGCAGCGGTCTGTGCTGAGGACGTGGCCCTCGTTGCACTCGCAGCCCTCGGTGCACGGGGAGATGCAGGCCAGCGGGGCAGTAAGGTCTGAACACGTGGCGGGGCAGCTGCTGGCACACACCGAGTAGTGGCTGAGCTCCGGGCATCGCACAGCCGTCGCTGTGGGTGCAGAGAGGAGACAAGCAACAGGAGGACCATATTACAACATGGTTCTGGGCCAATTATCTCTTTCCCATTGACCCACAACAGAGATAATAGAGTGACCTAGGAGACCCATTTGACGGGAGAATTGCCCCTCCATTTCTCTCCTGTACCTCCTCAGCCATTCCGCTCGTGCGAGCAATAGCTTCTCTCAAACAGCCCAGAGCCATCAAGCTGCCCGCAGTTATTTAATGCTGTGGGTGAGGAGGGTGGGCCTAGTGTGCTGTTGGCCAGTCCTCATTCCGGTCCAGCCTCCATCTCTCATCGCAGCAGCCAACTACCTGCAGAGCGATGTGAAGTTGCCAGCACAAGTCTGATGCCTCAGAGAGGAGGGACCAATCGACTCTCACCCGACTCCCTCTCCTGGATTTCTCCCGCATCGTCTCACATGTTGCTGGGCACACAGGCAGACCCCTGAACTCCCTCCCAGGAAGCATGCAAACACTTACCGCACCCCGTCTGGGCACGCCACTCTCCCACAGAGATGCCCAGGGCCTGGCACACCGCAGCGTACGCCTGGATGGCTTGGCACAGGCCAGTGCCGTTATCCCGTGCGCTGCAGAGATCATAGACACAGCTGTGGACGAAGGCAGTGGGGTCCACGACGGTGCCGCACTCCCACAGCGGCCCTCCGCTCTTGTTGATGAAGCCACAGTATTCAGAGGTGAAATAGAGAGACTCGGTAGCAGCGTCGCAGAGGCTGCAGTTGTCCAAGCAGCCGGGTGAGCATTTCCTCTCGGGGTGTGGCACTCGCCAGCTCTCGCCCAGGTCTGGCACGGACGTGGCCAACCTCCCGTCTGAGCGGAGGGTATCATCCTCGGGGTCTTTATTGTAATTCCCACATAGACCACACGTGGTATTGATGTATGTGCCTGGAACAGAGATGGAGGCGTAGTGTTGTCCGTCGTAGGTCACCAGCAGGCCAAAGTCAGTCTCCAGGGCTGTGGACAAGCCGCTTTGGTAGATTTTTATCGCGCCCAGTTCCAGGGAGATGGGCAGGGACACCACCAAGTCATCCACCTGCAGAAACAACACCAGGCGACTGAAACACTGCGTGAAATAGCGGAGCCCGCTTACCGGGACACAGGCAGGAGCCATACAGCCCCAATATGGCATCTGAGGGTTAGGGAAGTGCGCAGAAGGACAGCCGTCGATAAGCCACAGGCATTTGCCAACACGCCTATCACCCGTGCCGGTTCCCCGAGGGACGCACGGGGCCCAGAAGTGCCGTCCCACGCTCCCCAGGCTGCTGTCACTGTCTCGTCGCCGCCTCGGAGGAGCCTACCTGGAAAATTCTCCCCTTTCAGTGGGGCTCTTACCTTCGCTTTCCCAAAGCTGCCCTTGGGGAGGACGATCTTGTGCGAGTAGACCTCCACAAAAATATCCCTCAGCCAGGAGACGGAGGAGCCGCCTCGGTTCTCATTCTTGGCCTCCACATTGAAGTAAGGTAGCTGGGAGCCTGGCCAGCACTGCCTGGCAAGGAGGTAGGAGCAGGAACCCTGGAAGTGAAAGAGGAAGCCATCGAAGGTGTGGTAGTGTGGATCTCCAAACACCACGCAGGTGCTGCTCTCCACTGGCACGCACTGGAAGAACTTGGTCTTTGGCTCGCACGCTTCAAAGGGGCTGCAAGCCATCTCCTGGCAGAAGATCTCATTGTTGAAGTCCAGGCAGCGGCACTTGGTGGTGCAGTTGGCGTTGTCCCAGAAGACCTCCCCTTGACGAAGAAACTGTCCTAGAAAGACAGAAAGGGAAAAACCCACACTACATCACTTCTCTAAAGAGAGGAGCACGTTCTAACTGCAGCGTGTCAGTCCTCAGAGGGGTCTGCCTGCCCTACAATAGCGACTGACACAAAAGCATCCTGCTGCTGGGTTTTCTCTGTGCAGAATCCAAAGCAGGAGCTTTGTTTTCAATGTACAGCGCATCCCATTCGAGTCCTCCCTGCGCCGCAAGTCCATCAGATGGTGCGAGCGCTGTTATGAATCCAGTGCAGGCTGGCTCACTTGAAAGCTGTGCCATCCCTTATGGACACCCACCAGCTTCCATTTTGGACATCCACCACCCTTCTTCCACTTTAGTATTGTGACCCACAAGAGCCCTTTGTGCAATTTTCTCAAAGGGAAAAGGCCACTTCTAGTGCTGTCGCTGTGCTGTCATCATGCTTCAGCTTTGTTGCTATCTCTGTAATTCCTCTGTTGACAAAACTTTGCCGGAGGCCCAGAGGCAATTCACTCCCATTCAGAAAGCACTCATAGTCATTAAGAAAGCAAAGAGCTGTTGATGAGTAACTTCCAAAACATACACCAGTGAGGACAGGAAATGATGAGTGATCGCACAGCAATAGACTGAGCAGAGTTGTTACACGGCAGTACTCTAAAGGGAGGCAGGTTTGCCTGGTGAGAGACATGAGAGGCAGAGAGAAGGCAGGAGAACAAGGGTGGCAAATACCCGTGAGAGTTTCCCTCTCCTCCATATGGCAGTCTTTCACACTTCTCATGCGCCTGGCTTTCACCGTGCGCGCTGCCTGAATTTACCTCTCCTGAACTTTTGGTTCTCTTCCCTGCCTCCTACAAAAAAAAGCTATTTTCCATTTCCCTGCAACAAACATCATCTTCTCTTAGCAAGACCTGCTTGTGAGGGGTCCCACACTAACTGTCCTGGAGCAGGGGATTTGGGCAAACGAGTGCCATTAGGCATGGCAGGCCCCCTCGCCTCCAGCGCCTCGTGCTGCGTCTGTTCTTGTGGAGGGCAACTGGTTGTCCACCGTGAAATGCACATCCAGCAGCAGGATCTATACACATTACCTGCATTACCTGATCTACCCTTGTTACCTGCAAAACTGAGACTGGCTTTCAGCCCCTTTGCCAAGTCCAGCCTTTCTTCCTGGGGTCAGCAGCTGGAAATGGCTGGAGCGGTTAGACTCAAAACCTCTGCTGGGGCTGTGAGAGCCTCGGGGTCTCATGAGCCTTCTTTGGTACAGTCCTAAACCAGGACATAAAGGAGCCGCATGTCTCAGAGTGGTGACATCTCCAGTGCCTATCGGCAAGTGACAATTCTCTCTTGCTAGAAAGAGTCCCAAAGCACTAGACACTCTTGACAGTTTCATTTGTTAAATGGTAATGCAGTAATCTCTCTGCAGCAGAATACCTGTGCAGTCACTGTGCACAATTATTAATCCCTTTCTCTCCTCATGCTGTTGGTGACACATGCGCTAACGCTGTAACTGGTGCAGGAACATGGCATTTTTCTGGCCCAGAAAATCTGCTATTCCTCCTGCAAAAACAAGGGAAATGGGACCACACCATCAGCTTTCCCAGAAAATTGCCTTTCCCTTTACCACCATCAGCATCATAGAAAAGAATTGAGATGATGGCTCAGTGGCATTCAATTCCTGCAAAATACCCAAGCCCCATCTGCCCTCGATTTCAGGTTAGGGTTCTGCTGCTGAGCTGCAGAAATGGGAACTTACAGCAACACTATGCTACTAAAATCCCTGAAAGGAAAAATCCTAGCATGGATTGAAGTTTTGCTCGCTGGTGGTTTAAAGTAACACCAAGAGCAGACAAGACTCCTGAGTGTTTATGGACCCCTCTTGGTTTTCTCCGAGCTGCCAAATAAGGCCTCATCTGCACTAGAGAATTCGCTGCAAATAGTCCTTGCAAGCTGGGTCCTGCCATTGGTGAGCGTGCAGATGTCCCCTTGGGAGAGACAGTGCCAGCCAGGAAAAACAGAAAACAACGTCAGACAACGGCTTCTTCGTATATGCTGCTGAGGATGCTGTCCCACTGAACAAGGTGTGCCCATGCTGACACAAATGAAAAAGCTCTCTGTCCACTCTTCAAGGCGTTAGCCTTTTGCCAGGGGTAGACTGAAATTATAATTATCATTGGAAGTCAGGTGATGACTTTGTGCTGCATGCAGCAACTCGGAGATGCACAAAGGACCCGAACCCTGCTCGCACGTTTCTGTCCCGGCAGCTGCATCTCGAGGGGATGCCTTGGCAAAACCACAAATGGTGTGGCAGCCCAGAGCAGTCAGGCACCTCTCCACCAGCTTCCCAACAGTGTTACCTTTTGCTACACTGTGCCCCAAAACTTGGAAAAAAAACCAAACCAAAAATCCCAATGCCGATTCCCCCTTACCTCTCAGACTGCAGCCATTGGCTGGATCTATTTCTCTGCCATCTATTTTGAAAGCCCAGCGTCCGGGGACATTAACATTGGTGGTTTCTTCAATATTGACTATATCTGGGGTTCTGGAGCCTGGGATGCTAAAGAAGTTGCTGATATTGCCACCATTGAAGCCAGCCTAAAATAGACAAAGAACAAATTTCATCACTTCATTTCCACACTTCATCCCCCATAACAACTCCTGAGTGCATTGTCTCTTTTTAGGGCTTTCAGTTTTCAGGTAGTTTGGATGTGAGTGACGAGCTTGACAGATACTGTAAGCAATATGGATGTATATGTACACATTTATGTATGTATATATACATATCTACGTACTTCTAAATAAATATTTATGTATGTACATCTAGATCTATGGGAGTATGTACTGAATGGCTGAGATAAAGTAAGAAAGTGATGGAGGGAGGCTCCCCTTAGGCAGACAACTGCACTCCCCTCGGGCAGATGAACTGGTACTGCTGCTGACACCAAATGTTTGAGCACTCGTCTGCTGTGCCCGGCAGTGGGCTTGCAATGCCAGTGCAGGGGATATTGAGGGACTGTGGCATGAGCGAGCACAATACATCGGGAAAGTTACAGGCAACCACGCAAGAGCTCGTTAGAGATGGGGATACGGGAGCAAGAGCCTCACCTGGGCCATCACCCCGCCGAGACCGGTCAGTGGGTCCCCTCCACTGGCTGTCCCTGTGGTCCAGCTGATTTCATGGTAGTTAAATATGGCAAAAGATGACACTCCGTCTGTGATCAGGACAGCTTGGAAAGTGTTTACCTGTTAAAAATCATGAGTACATTCACAAGGTGATACTGCTTTTCTCACACTGCTTGCCTTGCCCCACATTTGTCTCTGGCCCAGGCGAGACACGGGAGCCTTGCGGTGAAGAGTGGCAGAAGCCAAACGAGACACGAAATACGCCCGCCAGCTCCATCCCTGCTGCTACCTCCACCTGGGAAGACAAGAAGGCCATCTCCAATCCAATTTAATGCCAACAGATGGCAGCACGAGAATAAGCTAGCAGGGAAAAAAGCTATCGGCAGGATTCGGGTTGTTATGACCTGTTACCTTCCATTATCCTATCTTAGCTTTATTCCTCGCTGCGTTATCTTACCCGCTTCCCTTCCACACTCATATCCTACCACACTGTTAACGGTGGATTACATTCAAATCAGCCATGTATATTAAGTGCTTTGTTGGCAGCCAAATCTCCTCGCTACCTGCTCAATCCGCTGCTTGTGTTCTTGCTTTCCCTTGAAATGACTCTGCACTTCCAGTCCCTCCAACTCCAGATACATTCACACAACTGCCAGCCTGGGCCCCGGGCAGGAGGTGTGCGTTTGCCAGCTGGTGAGGACAGCACAGCCCTGAACTCTTCCCTTTTACAGTTGTGCAAAAAGATTGAAGAGGCCTCTTCCTTTTAGATCTCTGCCACTGGATCTCCCTGCAAGATCTCCCTGCGGATCCAGTGGCAGAGGTCATCACTAGGAACTAGCAATCACTTCTCTCAGCTTCCTGCATTTTCCTGTCCTCCTCATCCCTGCCCATCCTAGACAGCTCTGCCCTGGGACCATGCAGTGATCAGTGACTGCTCCTCCTGCCTCCCAGCAAACAGGATTTTAGCAGGGGACACAGTGCGGGCTGCCCCTCCTTCAGTTATTCAAGAGCAATACTAGGGGCCTTGCTACCTGGGTGCTGCAAACTGTGAAGGAAACTACAGTCCCATAAACAATTGTCAGGTGATACGGGAAAGCACATTGATCAAACCATCTCACGCTAGGAAGCGTTAGGGCTTACCCTGCCAGCAGGAGCTGAGCTGCTCCGTGTTAACAGGTCACCTGTGCTGCTGGACAAAGGGAAGACACCAGAGTACCGAGGGATTGGGGGGGGGGTCACTTTGCACTGCTTTACATTCCCTTACAGCAAACCCTACAGCTAGTTTGATTATTGCTGCTGAGGTGAGCACAAATGCCTGCAGATTGAGGAGGGAACACAACGGCTGCACTCACTACTTGCATTCCACGAGGGAAGTCGCTTCTAAGGCCCATTGGGCTTCTGCAATGAGAAATGTTGGAAATGGAGGCGAAGCAGCCTGTACAAGCTATCAGGGAGAGCAAGAGGTGTGGGCAGAGCTGCCTCATGGCACAGTTCACGCCAGGGCAAGCGGCAGAGCAAGCTAGCGGGGAAGCCACCGTTTCCACTCCTGCATCCTTTCCCTGGCATTCTGCCTCCTATGTCTGGTTTCCTCTTCACCTCCTTAGCACACTTGCTCATCTTTGCCAAGTCTTTTCCCATGACCATGAGATCTGAAGGCACTAACACATAAAGCCAATATCACTCTGACTGCACAACAACGGCTCTTCGATAGAGCAACAAACCCTGCTCTGGTCAGGTCCCTCTTGGAGGGCAGATGTGGTACCAGGAGGTTTAAGATGTCTGGCACTCCTTGTTAGGAGCACTTACACAAACTTTTCCCTGTTTGGTGCTCACGGTCAAACATGCATCGAGCACCCTAGCCATCTAACAAGGCTCTCGGACACACGTTTGCTTGGGCGTCATCGAGAGACAGTAACCGCAGTGTCCCCGAGGCCACATTCCCAAAATTGTTTTCTGCAGCTTTTCTGCATTGCGATGAATTTCCTGCTTAAGTTGCATTGTGCTATTCCACGTGCCAACCCAGAGCCCTGGCTGCTATTGAACGGAAAGGCTGCTCTATAACAGAATAAATTGCATTGTGTTGCAAATGTAATTCTTCAGGCAATACACGAATCTCTATATTGCTTGCTGTCTGCAAATATATATATATATGTTGGGGTTTTTTTTTTCTGCTAGTGCTGCCAGGACTAGCAAAAAATATGCATTAGATCTCGAGTTTCTCTAACAAATGGAAAAGAGCTGAACTGTTTATCAGAGCCAGCTCTTCAAGACAGAAGGTACCAGCTTTTGGCACTCACAGTACACAGGCTAATTGCAAGTCAGCCCTTTCCCCAAGCACTAGCAGGGATCCTTCCCTCGCTACCTGCGCCCCAGACTTCCACACAGGGCCTACCAGTGACATGTCAGCAGTCCAACACGGAACTCACGACATCAGCTGTGGTCGCAGCTCACATTAACCAGATATTTAAAAGCTGTTTGTACCCTGAAAAGCATCACACTGCTCTCCCCATCCTCTGAGATACGACTCACATGCTGATGGAAATAAAACAGAGCTACCATGGTCGAGTCACGAGCATGACTCTAGTCGGTCTGAATCAGTCTCCCCATGCAGACAGGGCAGTTGTCATTGCAAAAATACTCTCTGTATTGCCTTTGGTTTTCCCCTTCCTATCTCAATGTCCACACAGGATTTCAGAGCCGCTTTTCAACCCTCTTCTACAAGATGCTCTCACCATCCTCTTGGATTAGCTCTGCGGAGAGAGTGTTTCACCCTCTGCCACAGAAAAAGCCATCACAATTTGAAAGCCAAAGAGTTTTTTGCCAAATAAATACAAATTAAAGCTCTCGTTTTCTCTTTCCTGTCTCCGGCTCCTCAGAAAGTGGATTACTTCCAAAGCTTAATTTACTGCACATTCCTGAGATAGAGCCTTTTCTGCCAGAGCAGCCCTCCCTCCTCGCAAAGGCAAGGAGCAAATAATGACCTTAGCTTCATTCCAAAGCTGCTGTGGCCTTGCAAGGTGAGCTTGGGGTGCAAAACTGAGCAGACTTGCATGGAATCCCCATTGGTGGGGAGGGAAGAGCAAGTTACAAAATCCATCCTTGAGAGGATGACCAAGAAGAAGGGAGCATGGAGCAGAAGATTATGGCCAGCCAGCCAGACAACAAAGGGCTTCCCTTCTATCACCACAGCCCTCTCTTTCCATGACCCCGCTGCCTCGTGCTCTCTTTCTCCTGTGTTAGGAAGCCCCGCTCCCTCTCCTGAGGGAGTGTGTGACTGAGTATGGGACCAGTTTATCCTGAACCCCTGGAGGGGAGAGACCTGATCCAGCATGGGGGGGTTCAGCAAACGGCTGCCTTCCAGTCCCATTTCAGGACAGAATGCAAGCGTGTGCACGCTTTGGCATGCCTCTCATTCCCTGCTCCATCCCTGGGCACTGCTCGCCACATGGCAGTCTCGGGAGGAGCCTGCTCTAAGCACACACATCTTGTCATGCTCAGATGCCGCGCACGCAGTCGGGCTGCTTTCGGTACCTGGCCAGCTGCTATGGGGTGCTTCTGGGTCTCACCCAACACCCTGGCCCCATTCCTGCCATGATAACATGCCTTTTAACTCAATCATTCCTTATAAACTGACAGCACAGGAGCGGGTGGGAGCCTCAAGTCATTTAAATCACAGCGGAGCTACTGTTCCATGCCAAAACTTTAGCTTCTTTATAAAGGCCTTTCTTCCGAGGTGCCTGCAGCCCCTGCACAAACAGCTCTGTTTTATCACTGCAGAAGCACAGGCAAAGTGAAGGTCACCTATCACAGCACAAAGGAAAAATGAAATCTGCATTTGTATCTAACAATAAAAACCCTCCTCATGCTATGATCAAGCCAAAAACTCCCCACTGGTGTTGGAGCCTTGTTTAGAACACTGTCTACAAACACTGGAGAGGTGATGCTTTCCCTGGAGATCTGAGAGCAGGGAGCAAGGCTTGTACGGCTCCCATGGGAGAGAAAGAAAGGACTGTGGTGATCCTCTGCCCGAAAAGGAACTCATGAGTGGGAACACAAAATGACTCACTCAATTATATGCACAAAGGCCAGAACAATGGTATCTATATGGACATATACTCAACCATCAAACACCACCCGTCAAGAAACACGCCTGATCGCTCCTTACCGGGGTCGTGCTGCTTCCTCCATAGAAAGTGACTTCCTCCCAGGTGACAACGAAGATCCAGATGGCAGAGAAAGAGGACATATCTTTGAAGTGCTTGTGGACATCTTTGGAGGCTCTTCTCAGCAGCTCGGGGTCCGTGCTCTCCCTGTAGTAGATTTCTCCCCGGATGCCGTTGTGTACGTCCGCCCAGAAGGGCGCGATGAAGGCCCGGCCGTCTGTCAGGGGAAAGGCTTCCGGGGTGAACTGGCTGACGAGCGTGTTGAAGGAAATCACCCCGTTGTTGTTGACCTGCACAAAGAGATCCGCTTTCATATAAGCAAGCCTTTGCAGGTAGCAGGAAGCCGCTGGCTTATCAGGTTGCCCAAGGAAGTAGGTTGCCCAAGGAAGTTGTGGATGCCCCCTCCCTGGAAGTGTTCAAGGCCAGGTTGGATGAGGCTTTGAGCAACCTGGTCTAGTGGAAGGTGTCCCTGCTGATGGCAGGGGGGTTGGAACTAGATGATCTTTAAGGTCCCTTCCAATCCAAACCATTCTATGATTCTATGAAAAGTAGGGTGAGCGACTTTTGACAGAAAGTGACTTGTAATAATCATATCTGGTAAGACAGCCTGACCATCTACCCAGACACTCAACTTCATCCTACCAATGGTGGCCAAAAGCTGAGTGCAGGAAACCCCAAGCAGGACACAACCCTGAAAAGCCTGCAAAACAGGGCTCCTACAAGCCAGCACAGGAGAGGCACCCATCACAGCAGGATGGCAGCTGGCTTGACTGGGACCCTGCCTCGGGGTCCTGGGTTTACCCAGCCTTTGGAGAGCAGCTCGGCAGCACTGAGAGACCTGGTTGTATGACACAGGTGGCTGCATGGCACGAGGGCTCCTAGGAAAGAGCGCTAAAACATCAGGCCCGCTGCCTTCAGCTTTGTCATCTGCAACAGATCTTGGGGCTCCCCGAGAGCAGCATGACACGTGCCACAGGCAGCCTCCTCAAAGTCTGCTGAAGATGCTCTCCAAAACAGCTATTTTTTTTGCAAAGCATGGAGAACAAGCGGCTCTGCTGTCCTGGATGCTGAAATCTCCCACCACACAGGGGTTTTAAACCCCCTTGGTTACTGCCTTGCCGGTATTGCTGTCCTTTTGTCTGTGGCACCCCCATACAAGTCCAAACTGTTGCCCATTTTGTCCCCCCCCCTACGGATCTCTGCATCTTCTCCTTTCTTGTCATGTGACAGGAATAATGTTCCCTGTGTCAAGGCCTTCGCTTTGCTGTACCATTTAATCACCTGCAAAGAAAATTTATTGCCTTTTATATTCCTTCCCCATGAACATTAGCCCATTAAATATACCTTTGACTTTCTTAATCATAAAACCCATCAGTTCATGAAATCTAAGAACTTGTCAGGTAGGTGCTAATAAATCTTCCAATTCCTGACAATGAGGAGAGCGTGTTTAAAATGCAGCCGCTAATGGCACAGAAAAGAATAAAGGGAAGGTCTGCTTCTCCACTTACATAAATGCTTCTGTACGCAGCTCCAAAAAAGATGAATGGGATGGAGATCTTGATCTCGGGAGAGCTTCCATCATCAACTTTGGGCGTTTTTGTGTCATTATGCCAGAATGGATACAGACTCGCCGTGGTGTGAGCTGCAAAGAGAGGGAGAAGAGAGTCCTCGGGAACAAGGATTGTTTCAGATGGCGAGGTGCTCAGGTGCCTGGGGACCAAACAGCACCAAGCTCGACCTTCAGAGCCACGGTCCTAGCAGCAGCCATCCTCCTCCTGCCTGCACGGCAGAGCCCTCCTGGGCACCAGGGCCAGCCTGCCAGGCCAGACCCCCACGCGCTCCCGACACTGGGTTACAGCCCAAGGTGTCACAACTGCTCCAACATTTCCTGGCAAAATTAGGTTTCCCACTAAAAGGCACTGCTGGTGAACACAATTGCCTCTCCTAAAAATATTTCAGAAGATAATTTTTGAGGTGTTTCCATACAAGTCTGTTGCTTTCTACCAAACTAAAATCCATCCACTTGAGTCGCAAGCAGGCACTTCTGGCCCTAGGGCATATGTCCTTTCCCATTCCAGCCCCTGCCAGATCTCTGCTCTCATCTCATCCCCTTTTCTTGCAGTTGGCCACTGCTGTGGCTCCTCACAGAACAAACGGGGTTTTTACCGGGTTTTCCTGCCCCTTCTCCCCTCTTTGATGTAGGAAAGCAGCGCCCTGTCCTCACGACATTCAATCTCAGCCGACATGAACCACTGGGCTTTGAACAATCCCGGCTCTGTTTGCCTGGATTCAGGACATGTTTTTATTTCCTAAGCCCTACCCTGCGCTGTTCAGGGGCCTCCAGCTGAGGACAGCTTGCTCTGTGCCCCACTGTCACGGACGCACTGGGGGCTCTCGGTGTCTCCTGAGCTGGGGGATGCTCTCTCCTAACTGTCCTGTGGATGCTCCCTGCTCAAAACTGCCTGGGAACCGGGAGAGTCACCGTCTGACCCTTCTTCACAGGCTCAACTGGTCTGACTTTCCTTGGAAAAAAGGAGACGTGTGGCCCGAGTGCCCCACCAGACAGAGGGAGGAGTTGTGTGACGGTGTCCAAGCCAACACCTGGTTTCACAGCTATTACCTGAAGGGTTGCAACAAAACTCCTGGCTGCCAGGTAGCAGAACAAGGTGTCTCATGGCTGTTGCGCACCTGATGAGTTATTACAGCTGAGGCAGAGCTACGAGACACAGATTTTACTTCTTTTTAAGAGGAAACTGCAAAAACTTCTCAGTGCCCACTTTAGCACTACTAGGGCAACACTAGCACAGCTTTGCACACATCATGTCATCTAGCTCTGCGGGCTCAGCTGATCATGATTCTTGCCCCGGTGGCATTCCCCACGAGTGAACTAGTGGCCTCGTTTCCTGCATGAGGAATGAGAGTCACAGCTTTTGCCTGAGCTGTCCTCAGCCTGACAGCACCTCAGCAGCTGACCAGGGAAACAGCTTCCAGATCTCCCAACTCTCTCCAGCTCTAGGCTCCCTTGCTAGAGGTCCTCAAGCCAGCCACACATCTAGTACCAGCCATGCCGTGCACATTTGCCACATTACCGAACTACAGAAGCTTTTCCTGCCCATATCAGCTCCATTTCTCCTTCTTCAAATTGAAATACGACAGAGATTAATTTCTCCATGAGATTAGGGAGGTGCTCCTGTGCTTTTCAACATCATAGAAAACCACGTCTCTGTCGCTCAACGAATTTGCCCTTTACTGAATGTAGGTTAAGCAGCCTACTTAGCAGTCCTAACACCAGAAACTTTTCAAACTCCTATTTTGTAGTGATTGGCCAGACAACCACAACCTCTGGAACGCCCCATGTGAGCACACACAGCCCTATAAATTATATATACACCTATATATAAAACGCTTACCAAGCTGGACAACTGCTGTGGCCTGGATGCCCCGCTGGCTTTGCCAGCTTCGTATTCAGCACGGTGTGCCAGTTCCTCATTCAATGTAAACTATCATCGTTTCATTGCTCTCAATGAGGCAAGGGCAATTTTGCACAAGCTGCCAATCCATCTCCTGCCATGCGAGCTGTCACTCGTGCACAAATGGCACCTGTGCTTACCCACGAAGGCACACCGATCTCCCTGCTTAGTGCTCACCCTTAAAGTTGGCAGTCACTCCCTCCCCACAGGAAACATTGTGTTCACCCTGGTTCTTGTCCTTGCTCAGCCAAGGAGCTGGGTGTATTTTCCAGGCCCTCTGTAGTTCTGGGGGTCTCTAGGCACAGCCCTCTCTGAGGTGACCACTATCGTAGCACAGCTGATGAGCACTGGCCTCCCTGCACCCGAGCGGGAGATACTCACCTCGCTGCAGCACAGTTATCACCAAAAGGGCCACCCAGGTTCTGAGAAACGATTGTTTGTTCATCCTACAGGAAGGAAAGAAACCTGGACATGCATCACACCAGTAGGAAATTGCATCCTCAAGCAAACCCCGGGTGAAACCGAGCGCCGTCGCTTCCCAAAGCTGCCCAACTACTGCTGACATACGGACATTTCAGAGATGATGGTCCCTCACCTGCCAGGCAGAGCCAAAACGCCTCCTCTGTTAAGTGGTGTAATGAGACCTCCTGGGTGATAACAGCAAATCACCCTGCAGGTATTGTCAAAGTAAGCCCATAAGCACGTGGAAGAGCTGCTGCTAATTTCACGCAGCATTTGAAAGTTGTAAGTAGCCCCAGCTCTCCACGGGCTGTCTATTCTCCTGATAGTTCAAGAGCAATTCCTCCCTGATCCGCTTAGTGCGAGGACGGATGCTTCTGCCTCATTTCAAGGGAAACAGCTTCTCACTGCTCCAAACACAGAGCCGATGCAGAGCTGCAGCGTGCTCTCATAGTTAAGGGGCTTCAGACACTGCTTTGACTAATCCTTTGTGCTGGCTGCTAACACAATGATCGCTTACTGTTTTTGAGGAACGTGGAAGCACAAACATTTACAGAGCTTGGCAATTCCTTGCTGTATGGGAATCAGTGCTAGAGAGAGAAGCAGATACGGGGCAGGGAAAACGTAAGTGAATTCCTGTGCCAGCTTTAATTCCTTCTGTGCCTAATGCAATTTGTTACTCATTATTAATCCAATAGAAAATATCACTAAAACATCTGCTTTGATTTCTTCGCCCGTCGCTTCTGTTCATTACACGCAGGCACAGCTCACCTAGAGCTCGCAGGAAGGCATCCTCTGCTCCCAGCGTGCGTGTGCCCGCCAGACAAGTATGCGGTCGGCTTCAGATTCAAACTATATCTATGCATTACTTGGAGCCTTAGTTTCAATAGCAGTCTCTCTACCTTCTCAGCTTCGTACGTCCCATGCGCTTCAGGACACACTGCCTACAAACCCCAGTGCCTCTTTATGCTCTCCCTATAGATCTGTTTCTATAGCATATGGGGATTAACAGATCCAACTACTTCTAACTATATCCACGCATATACATAACACATATAGTGCGGGACTATAGCAGGGAACATGCCATCATCTGTCCTCCACTGCTTCCACTTGACTCCTGTTACCAGGAGCTCAGAAAACACAAAACACAGCAGAAGGACAAGTTCCTCCTTGCTTCGTTGCTCCTCAGCACACCCACTCCCACCAACACTGGCCACAGTCTGCTTCCAGCAACTGCATTCTGCGTTGAGAAAAATTCATTCCACTAACGAAAAGTTTTACTACGTTCCCTATCTTGGAAAGATGAAAAGAGGATGACAGAATTTCATATAGATCATAAATCTGAGTTGCTGTGGATTCATTAGCAGAGACCAAGCGGGTAATGACTAGTGAAGACTATGGCAGTACAAGAACAAGAGTGAGTCTGGCGCCACTTGGGAAACATGACAGATAATAAAGAATATGTTACTTAACATATCACATTCAAAAATACCAATTTTTAGGTATGGAAAAAAAAATTACCAACCTGTTCTGTAGACTAGAGGAGCAATCAGGTCTGAAATTTTAGACTGATCTTGGTAGACCAGGGAGAAATCCTATGTCAGTGGAGAATGCATGCCGGTCCTCCTTTGCCAATTACTGCTGATGACTGAAACGATGTCTCAGTCCCCTTGCTCTTGCAATTGAAAAGTCTGTTTTCTTCAATGCTGTTCCAGGGCTGGAGGAGAGTTGAGTTGCAGTCACAAACTGTTGCCTCTATTGATAACCAGCAAGCTAATCTGGAGATCAGATTCTGGCCTGGAGAGGGAGAGAAGCCTCTTTCTTCCCCAAAAGCTCACCCCCTTCAGGTGGATTCAGATGGAAATGTCAGCAAGTTGGAGCTGGGCTCAGGGCTGTGCTGTTCAGCATCACCTTTCGCTGAAGGAAAAAAAAAAATAAATAAAAAATCAACTCAGAAGAATTGAGCCCCTTCCTCCTTTGTGTAAGTGGAAAAAAAAAGCCCCATCTATATAAAGTTACAGGATTAGCATTAAACAGTGCTAGGCTTAAAGCACCGTTCAAAGGCAGTGCCCCAGACTTTCAACGGAGTTACTTTTCCATCCAAGACTTGCTTTAGTTTCTGTAACACAACTTACTTTTACAGGTGGAAGAGGAAAAACTTACCGAGTGCAGTGTGCTCTCTCCAAACCTGGTGGAGAGGGTTTTGGTGCTGTTCCCGTTTCAAGTGTCTCTGGAAGGACTGACTGCTGTTTTTCTCAAGCCGGTGGGAAGTATCACTGGGGGACTGCTGTGAGCATTGTTACCATTTTCACTGGTACAATCCGCAGTTTCCACAGAGATTTTTCCCTGCCCCTGGTGCCTGGGCTTCACGGTTCACCCGCAAGTATCCGCAGCAGCCGGGAAAGTTCACTGCTGAAGCCCTCTCTCGGCACTAACCCCCTTCTCTTGCAGGCACCCATAGCCCAGCCTTCTCTGTATCCCCATCTCCCCTGCCCTCCACCTGTAATGACAGTGTGTCTGCAAGCCCAGGGGTTTTGCTAGATGCACACCTACATTGAGGGCCAAAACCATGGACTGTGGGTGTTGCTGAGGTGAGGATGTGTTGTCCACAAGCGTGCAGTTACATGCTTGCAGCACTGGCTGAGCGAGGAGGCCCTGGCTCTCCATGCCCATGCCCCATGGCCACCTGAGCTGAGCAGTTACCAATGGTGCTCATTGTTCCTTGGTGCTCGGTGGCAGCTGCCGATGGACAAATGTTTCCACCCGTGCCAATGGGCCGGCTCCCACACACTCTTGCTGATGGTGCATGGGACCACTGCTAGCCCTGGAGGGCTGTACCTGACAAAACCTTGCAGGTTGTAAGCCTCAGACTGTGTTACAGAGACCAAAGCTCTTCATCCGAGCTTAATCTGTAGCCTGAGAAGATTTCTGCTTTAACTTCATTCACATCAGTGTTAGATGAGAGAGGAAGAAGCGGAATAGCGGCCGAGGGGTGAAGGAAGCAAATCGGCAGAGCCCCATCCATCAGAGAGCTGACTCGTACAGCCTGCATTAAGGCTCAGTTAAGACAGGCGGTGCTCCAATCCCAGCAGCCCATTGTGGGAAAACAGCCACGTTCTCACAGATAAAACCACACAGCCCAGCCTTGGCAGAAGAAGGATTTTTCGGGTGTGGGCCTTGTACTACCTATTTTTCCTACTAAATGGTAGGTATTCCTCTTGTGCTCCTCGTACACCTTTGTGATTTTTTGGGTGTGGGCCTTTTACTACCTATTTTTCCTACTAAGTGGTAGGTATTCCTCTTGTGCTCCTCGTACACCCACTCCCCACCCTCCATCAGGAACAGAGAGGGGACCGGAATGCCAGCAGCTAAACAAGAAGCCCCATCAGGTAATAGAATGAGCTCGAGCCTTGTTCCTCACCTGGGAGTGGAGATGAGTCACTGCCATGGAGAAATACAGTCCGGAAGAGGACTACATCTTCCAGCACTGTGACTTCTCCTTCTGACAAGCAGCATCTCACACAAGGGAGGTGGCTGTGTCCGAGCTTGCCAGGCAGACAGCCGGCACGAACAGTCAGCAGAACAAAGAAATAAGTCTCGACAGCTTTCCCTCTCCTGAAGGTGCATGTTAAGCGTGCAGGTGAGAAGGAGGGAAACATTTTGCTTCAGGGAACAAAAAAGTGCCAAACTCGGAATACTTGTGTAAAAACTTACATAAGTTTATTGAACTGATCCAAACCAATTGCCTATTTGGCCTGAATTCCACTGCTAAGTCTGCAAGCAAACCAAAGGCAAATTGTGGGAACAGGAAGTATATTCCCCATGAGAGAAACCAGAATAAAAAACGAGATGGACTTACAGTTCTTCCTTTTTCTTTAAAATTACATATGGATGCATCATTAATAGGGAGCAAGAACAGACCTTCATGTTTAAGTTATAGTTCAAGTTTCCAGTAACTGCAGAAAAGCAATCACAGAGGCAAAGGCCCGAGATGGCTAAAGCCCCTCTAAGGTTGCTCTGGGGAAGGCATCTCTCTACCGCCTACAGAAGCGCCACATTCAAATGAGGGAGGCACAGCTGCCAGGAATACATATTTTAGCCTCCGGGCTGCTTTCAGCACCTTATTTGCATTTTCAAATCCACACATGAACAGAACTTACAGAATCTCATTTATAAGCAAAACCAGCAACTGACGGAGGCAGAGCCGCCATGTCGCCCTTTTTTGGATTCCAGACCTGAGTAGGCGAGAGCAAACCAAGAGCCTCTCCCCAGAAGCAACGAGCACCAGTAGGCGCAGATCCTCCGAGCTGCTCCAAGCCACCACGGGCCACACTATCATCTGCCACCGGGATGGATGCAACTCCCAACAAAGAGGGTTACAAATCCCACCGAAGCAGCAGAGGACAGTCGCCACGCCATGCATATTCATAACATCGCCAGTTAAGCAATCTGCCTGAAAACATCTGGTCAAAACATGGATATTCGATAGGAACATATCCCAAAACACAACAGCACAGCATCTAATCCAGTACACGGAGCCGTGCCACACTTTGGTATATAGCTGTCACCCGATTCTTTCCGAACCAGGTGCTTTGCCCGCTGCTTAGACTGCCCACGGCAGAGTTTTATGCATGAACCAGCATGAACAACAACACAGTTCTGGACAAAAGTAGCCCTCAGATAGAGGGATGCAAAAGCTGGGGACGCTTGCAAATCTATTTTGTTTTCTCGAGGGAATGTGACAGAACCAAGGACATTTTGATGAAGTGGGTGTATGCCAACAACACTGGGACACAGCCCCTCGTGACATTGCACCGATTTAAATTTAAAACCACCCACCCCTCTCGGGAACCTCCTGGATTCTCAGCACCCACCACTGGCCCCAAATGCCCTCTCTCGCTCAGAGCTCTCCCCACAACGTGGTCCCCTGTTAAGTGGCAACATGGCACATATGCAAAACCCTTTCCCAAAAGGTATTACAAAAGG